CGTGGGGCTCGATGCCTCAACCCTGAGATCATGACCTGAGCTGAAATCAAGAGTCGGATGCTGGGGGCGCCTGGGTGGCTTAGTCGGTTAAGCGTCCGACTTTAAGCGTCCGACTTTGGCTTAGGTCATGATCTCGCGGTTCGTGGGTACGAGCCCCACGTCGGGCTCTGTGCTGACTGCCAGCTCAGAGCCTAGAGCCTGTTTCAGAGTCTGTGACTCCCTCTCTCTCTGACCCTCCCCTGCTCACGCTGTCTCTCTCTCTCTCCTAGAAATAATAAAAAAAATTAAAAAAAAAAAAAAAAAGAGTCAGATGCTGAACAGACTGGTCCACCCAGGTGTCCCCATTTGCTGTGTGTAAAAAATAGTGATGGTCCAGACATAATGCGTTCCACTTTAAAATATTTCTTTGTGAACCACTCAACCACCCAACCGTGGATGGACGGATAAGCAAAATGTGGTCTCGATGCACAAAGGAATATTATCCAGCCTTGAAAAGGAAGCAGATTCTGACGCCTGCCAGAACATGGATGAATCTGGGAGATACTATACTGACTGAGATAGACCAGATAGGAAAAGACAAACACTGTGTGATTCCACTTACAGAGGCACCCAGAACAAGCAAATCCATAGACAGACAAAGTGGGATGGTGGGTGACAGGGTAGTGGACAGCAGCTGGGAGTGAGTGTTTAATGGCACAGAGTTTCGGCTCGGGAAGATGAGAAAGTTGCACATCAGTGTGAAATTACTAACACGGTGATGAAACTCAAAAATGGTTAAGACACAGTGCTCAGGTGGCTCAGTCAGGTAAACGTCCAACTGGTTTTTGTGTTTTTAGTTGTTTTTTTAATGTTTATTTTTGAGAGAGAGAGAGAGACAAGAGCATGAGCAGGGGAGGGTCAGAGAGAGAGGGAGACGCAGAATCGGGTCCAAGGTCCAGGCCGACAGCACAGAGCCCGATGCGGGGCTCGAACTCATGGACCTCAAGATCAAGACCTGTACTAAAGCTGGATGCTTAGTCAAGTGAGCCACCCAGGTGCCCCTAAACACTCGACTCTTGATTTCGGCTTAGGTCATGATCTCAGGGTTCAAGAGTTTGAGCCCTGTGTTGTGTTCTGCACTGATTGAGTGGAGCCTGCTTGGAATTCTGTGTGTGTCTCTCTCTCTGCCCCTCCCCTGCTCATGTGCTCCCTGTCTCTCAAAAATGAATAAACTTTAAAAAAAAAAAAAAATCCTCTCTCCCCCTCTCCTCTTCCCTCCCTCACTCACACAAGCTCTCTCAAAAAAAAAAAAAAGGTTAAGATACTAAATTATATGTCCTGTGTATTTTATCACAATAAAAAAGAATTCGTTGTAAATCTGACCTAAATACGTATTAAGCAAAGCATGATCTTTCCGTTACAGTCTTTCTGTAGGGGAGTATTTTCATGTTGGGGGTTCCATTAAAAATCTGTTAACGGAGCATATAGATGTCTTATGAATGTGGAGAATTTGAAGAATTACATAATTGTTCTAGGTAATAAATTCAGAATTACTCTTGAGCATAAAGAAACCACAAATTACGCAAATTATTTTCCTTAATCGATTATAAATTAAATGAAGTTAAACGGATTTGACACTTATGAATTATACATACATACATACAACACAATTGTCTTGACTGTTGTATGACAGTCAAGAGAGCAAAGAGCAACATTATTTAGGAATAACAACCATGGTCTGTAACCTCATTCTTTTCCAAATCTGTAGTTCCACTGAGGGCTGGAGTCACAGCGGACTCATGGCAGGAGACTAAAAGTTAACTTCTCACCACGAGGCTTCATACCAATGGCCACATGGGTAGTCAACACCATTGAAGAAGACGGAGGGCCATCCTTCACAGACGGGAAGCTGGGTCACATCCCACACCAGCCCACCTCCACACTGCTGACATCTAAGCCAGGCCACCCTTTGGCGTGGGAGGCTGTGAGGGAGGCTGTCCCGTGCCCCGGAGGGCGTTAGTGTCTTCTGCCTTCTAGATGTCAAATCCCTCCCACCCACACACCAAGTCCTGAGAAATCGGTCTCCAGACTCTGTCAAGTGTCCCCTGGGAGGAAAATACTCTAGTCGACAAACACGGTCCTAAACGGAGAAACACTTGGGAACCACCTGTGTTTATATAGGAAACGTTTAAAAAAAAAACAAAAAACCAACATACTTTAATTTATTACGAGATACAGAAGTAGCGTTTTGTCAGAAACAAAAGGATCTTTCATCATTTTGAGGCCTCTTCCTAGCCATGTTATACCCAGAATCTAAATCCAATTTCAAGAGTTTATTTGGGAGTTTAAATCATTAAGAACTTAATGTCCATTTGGGTCAAAATTCCACCATGAAGAAAGTCGCTTGACTTTCAATCTCTTAGTTGGGAAGAAGGCGCGCTCTTCCTGGTGTGCTTGGGCTCAAGAGGAAAGAACACCCAGGGGCCCCTGGGGGCTCAGTCGGCTAAGCAGCCGACCTTAGCTCAGGTCATGATCTCACGGCTCGTGGGTTCGAGCCCCACGTTGAGCTCTGTGCTGACAGCCCAGAGCCTGGAGCTGCTTCCGATTCTGTGTCTCCCTCTCTCTCTGCCCCTTCCCCCTCGCTCGCTTTCTTGCTCTTCCTCTCAAAAACAAACATTAAAGAAAATTTTTTTTAAAGGCACAAGCTGTTGACACCCACAGCGTGGATGGATCTTAAGGGCCTTAGGCCGAACGAATAAAGGCGGTCTCCAAAGGCCAGGTGCCATAGGAGCCCTTTATGTCACATTCTGGAGAGGATGACAGGAAGGGGTGGCACCAGGAGCTTTCCCGGTGACAGAACACTTCCCCGTCTAGCGTCAGATTCGGCGGCGGCTGCAGGCACAGGCGTGAGAACGTTTCACATGTGGTCCGTGCACACACGCACACGCACACAAACGCACCAGCGCATGTGACAACAGGTGAGGTCCACAGAAGGCATGCATCTGAATCCAGTGCCACCGTCCACATCCCCGCCGTGAGAGCTCAGAAGGTGGAAGGGGGGGAGGCTACTCTGGAGCATACAGTACGGTTTTTGCAACTTCCTGCCGAGTCAAACATCAATTCAGAATGGGAGCTTTCAAGGTAACTGAGTGGCGAGCAGATAAACCAAACGTGCTCTATTCATACAACCAAACAGTACTCGGCCATAAAGAGGGATGAAGCACAGTCGTGCAACAACACGGTGAGCCTCCAAAACAGTCTGCTGGGGCGCCTGGGCGGCTCGGTGGGTTAAGTGTCCAGTTTCTGCTCAGCTCATGATCTTGCATTTCATGGGTTCAAGTCCGTCTTGGGCTCTGTGCTGACAGCTCAGAGCCTGGAGCTGCTTTGGATTCTGTGTCTCCCTTCCTCTCTCTCCCTCTCTCTCAAAAATAAACAAAACATTAAAAAAATTTTTTAAAAAGACAAAGACAACCGTGTGCTGAGTCGGAAGCCAGGCACAAGGAATGCACACCGCAGGGCTCTGTTTGCATGTGACACCTGGGAAGGTGTGAATGCGCAGACACGGAAGTAGCTTGCTACCTGGCAGGGATGGGGAGGCGGGAACGGTGAGGGACGTTGCTGTGACAACGGTCCACGCAGGGCTCCAGCCACAGGCTGTGGTGCTGGGCGCACAGCCACGTACACACTGGGAACCGCGGAACTGCACACACAAGGAGTGACCAGTCACCTAAGTGAGTTATCTCGATAAAGTGGTACCAAAAAGTGCCACCATCGGGCACCCCACAGGAGTTTTGTGAAGTATCTCGTCACAATTTACTGTACTTTCTCCTGCATGAGAGTTGGTTCTGAGGGTCACCTCTGGTGTCCTTTCAGCTTACAGGGGTCCCTCCGGTACTGATGGGCTTGCATCCCACAGGTGTATTGTGGGACATGCCAGAAGGCAGGTCTGCCACTGACGGAAAGAAAGTCTCCTCGGAATACTGGGTAGGCAAGGTCAAGTACAAGGTTCACGCCCTTTCTGATCCTCCGCCACCTCCTTCAATTCCACCAGGCTCGTTTATCAACAACGGGTTGGACGGGCACACCCAAGTCTAGTGGGGGCCAGGCCTCTCCAGGGACCGGGTGCCCCACAGGGGCTGAGATGAGCGCTCCGGGCCCCACAGGCCCCGCTCTAAGTGACGTGAGTTCTCTCCGCTCTAACGACACCCAGGCAGGGCTCAGGAAGAAGCAGATCGCCTCTGCGGGGACCTATGTCCCAGGCCAGGCTGCCTTGGGGCCGTGCCCACCCAAGGCTTTCATGGAAGATGCTGGCTGGTCCCCAAGGGGCTAGTTACATGTAGCCTGTCACCTTCAAACAGTTTCTGAGAAGCACAAGCAAGACGAAGGAAGCCTGGGGCAGACGAAGAGCGAAATGCTGGTGTCGGGTGTAAATCAGCCTTCTGAGGACAAATCAAATGCCACAAAAGTGCACAAGCGAGAAGCACACACAGGAGGCTCCTTGCAAATGTCTACGCATTGCAATAATGACCCCCATTTCTCTTTCCTAAAATTCTGACTTCTAGAAGCTAAACAAACAAAACAAGAAGGGTGTTATGCAGACATAGAGCTTTTTTCTTTCTTTCTTTTTTTTTTTAAAAAAAAATATTTTTATTTATTTCTAGGAGAGAGAGAGAGAGAGACAGCATGAGCAGGGTCAGAGAGAGAGGGAGATACAGACTCTGAAATAGGCTCCAGGCTCTGAGCTGGCAGTCAGCACAGAGCCCGACGCGGGGCTCAAACCCATGAACTGCGAGATCATGACCTAAGCGAAAGTCGGACGCTTAACCGACTAAGCCACCCAGGCGCCCCCTTTCTTCTTTTTTTTTTACAATTAAATTACCTGTGACAATAAATCCTAAGAAATCACCATTTGCCAGCACATCCAGCCAGTACAGTACCGTTTCACTTTTAAGCGCAGAAAATACGGAGAGGCCGACGGTATTTGTGACCCAATAAGCAATCCATCTGACAATGTCACTTACTCAGACCAAGTGTTGGCAAATCCCTTCTTCCTCCGAGGGTTTACTTTTAGGCCTGTTTTCTGTCTTTGGTTACCTGCAAAGAGAAAATCCTCAAAGTGAGGCAGAGGTGTCCACGCAGACATCTTGAAGCCCCATGCTGACCGCCCCCCCACGCCAGCGAGCCTCTGAGTTAGGGCTATTACAAACCCAAAACGCTAGCCGTGTCCCATGGGTCACAAGAGCCACAGACAAGTCTCGGGCCCCCTCCCCTATTCAATGCACACAGGACACTGTTCCCCCGAGTCTGTTCAAAATGGTCCTGACCGCGCAACCAATTCCCATCACAGCACCAGGGAATTCTGGAAACTGAAGGAATCTACTCAGCGCTCACCACATACGGTCCTCTCGAGCCCCTGAAACACGCTAAGTGGAAACTCAGGCGTCTCTAGGTTCAGCCCAACTCAGCGAGGGTCCCCCCAACAACAGAAGCGGTGCTCGGGGCCGCTCAGCCTCAGAGACGATGGGGGTCTGGTCTTGTGGGATGTCCCAAACTCGGCAGTGGAAACGGGGGAACATGTGGACGGAAGAGGCAGGACAAGAAACAAAGCAAACGTACAGCGAGATCATTTCGGATGACAGAAGTACGGAAACTCCAGCTGGTGGCGGGACAGTGTCACCAGACAGTGGGACCTGGGGTGGCATTCTCTGAGGAAGGGGCATGTGAGCACGCGTGAGAGAGGCCAGTCTGCAGACACAGCAAGTGCAAACGTCCTGTGGGGAGAAGGCTGCAGACACAGCAAGTGTCAATGTCCTGTGGTGAGCATGACCTCGCTGAGAGGAAGGCTGGTGGGCTGGGAGCCAGAAGCAGGTAATAGCAGGTCCCAGGCACCAGAGGACTTTACAGCCCACGGAAAGGAAACTGATCTGGGGCGCCTGGATGGCTCTGTAGGTTAAGCATCCAATTCCTGATTTCGGCTCAGTTCATGATCTCGTGGTTCATGAGACTGAGCTCTGTATCGGCTTCTGCACCCATAGCGCAGAGTCTGTTAGGATTCTCTGCCTTTCTCTCTGACCCTCCCTCACTCGTTCTCTTTCTCTCTCAAAATAAAATAAACATTGAAAAAAAGGAAACTGATCCTATACGAGCTCCCTCACACCTTTCTTCACCCAGCACCAGACTTCATGAGGAAAGAAAATCGGACCCTCCTGCTATTTAACAAACCCTCCAGGGGCTTAGAACGAACTCCAGAGAAGCTCTTGCTCAGGGAGAGCCGCTGGAGGCTGGCACCCCCACTAGGAAAGACCTGATGAATCGGAGAGGGTGTGCAGGGTTCACGGACACTCTGACCTACAGGAAGCGCCGGGGGGCAAGCGCGCGCGACAGGCGCGGGAGAAAAGACCCACGTGACTTCCCAGCTCGGCGGTGGGGCCACAACGTGGAAGGTGGTGCCATTTCCTGGAACGCAGGAGGGCCGCGGAAGAGGACGATGGAGACTTCTTTGCGCGTGACGCTGTGAAACGCTATACCGTCCGTAAGCGCATGTGAACTAGTTCAGTGCCCAGCCTGAGCACCAGGAAACATCACAGGTGCAGAACTAAGCCTGGGGCTCCTCCCACAGCCATGACCTTCAGAAGCGAGGCGGGAATGGGAACGCCCCGAACAGGGTTTGTCACCCCAGGGGCCGCTGACGCTGTTGATCCGATCGTCCTGCACCCTGCGCCGCGCTCGCGAGATGCGGGGGACAACCACACGCCCCGCCCCTTCCGCTGTGATAACCCACGCTGACCCCAGCTGTTACCAAGTGTCCCCTGGAGGGCACGAGGGCCCTGCGGAGAATCACTGGGCTACAGACTGCACGGCGTGGACAGAACCCTGAGCTGTCGGTGAGAGATAAGGAGGGTGCGGAGAAGTGCGAAATCCAGGGCGCTGTGGGGGTGCCGGCGTCTAGGGACAGACCGCCCTCCAAAATCATGGAGCAACTACCAAATCACTACCACTGAGCTGGAGGGCGAGGAGGGCAGCAGATGACGGCATGACAAAAAACCACTGTCTGTGTGCCCATGCTCGATGCATGCAACAAACCCAGAGAGGCTCCCTGGAGGCGGCAGCATCCCTGTTGGCCCATGACGCCAGGGGAGGAGGAAAAGAAAAGGGCTGCAGCTTGAGTGGTGCGGGAGGCAACAGATGCTGTCAAGAGGCCACCGGGTCTCCAAACACATGGCGCCCGGCTCTCGGGGTGCTGGGGAAAGAGGATGTGTGCGTCAGGGTCAGGGTACCAGGTAGCCAGGTGGGCCACAGACAGGGCTGTCCTGCTCCGCGCGGGGAAGAGACGGCCACCCGGGGTAAGGTGGCCCCGCAGACGGCACACTCCGGGGGGGTGGGGGGGGCGCACTCCAAACTTCCCCATGAACCACACAGTTCAAGCCAAGCAGGGGCCAGGTGCCCCTGGCCGAGCCCCCCAGTTTTCTCTTCCATTTTCTCCCAGCTCAGAGGCACTCGGGGGCCCCGCGCTCCGGGCTCAGAGCCCTTGACTGTGTGAAAACTGCTAACACAACTGGCTGGATGCCCGATCCATTTTCCTACCCCGTTCACCCCACAGCCTTACTGTGCACACACATTGTACTCAAAGAGAGAGAAGGAGGGGGAAAAAAAAGAAAAGTTAGTGGGGGGGAAAAAAAGAAGGGCAGATTTACAGGCCTCACTTTGCTCCTAATTAATTATAAGCAACCCTCCCTGGACCAGAGATTCCTCGGCTGTGAAACGAGGGCATTAAATTATTTATGAGGTTTTATCCACATCAAAAAATCTGAGGCACCATTTTCCTGCTGACTTCCTTTGTAAATTCTAAGGAAAAACACTTGCAAAGAACTGAACCAAGACCGTGCACAGGGATGCTGGGGGAGGGGAGGGGGGTACGTAGGCATCTACCTGTCACTCAGCCAAGTGACCACAGAAATAGATCCAAAGGCTGTGACATTTTTCCAAAGTTGCCATAAGGATTAACATTTGCACTGCAGAGAAGTTCAAGTTGTACCGTCAGGAAAACAATGCAAAAAATTCCAACAATGCTTTCAGACGCCACAGAGCATGGCAAAGATGCTGCAATTTCCTCCTGAGCCCTTTCTTTATTTAGTGAGCCCTGAATTAACCAGGCCGAGAGCCAGGGGCTAAGCCAGGCACTGGAATTCTGAACACTTCATTCGCTACAGGGTTCGAATGTGTGACGAAGCTGTTGTTTTCTGCATTACTGATACCGAATAGCATTTTTATGTATTGTCACGACTCATTCAATGACACATTTTAAATCCTTTGAAGCAGCGATCCTCAAATGGGGCTGCCTCCCACGGGGCACTGGGCAATGTCTGCAGACATTTCGAGTTGTCAGGACCAGAGGAAGAATGCTAGAAGCATCTCGTAAAGCACACGGGATAGCCCTTCTTAGCAAAGAATTATCTGGCTCAGATATCAGTCCTGCCAAGGCTGACCACACTAAGATTTCAATAATTTTACAGGAGACACATCCTATATACTTCATGTTCCAACGCATTTTTATTCTTATCAAAATAATGCATGTACATTGTTTCACGTTTTTTAAAAAAGAATCCTCATAATCCACTCCAAATTGGCCTTTTTAAAAGGTATTTATGGGGGGGGGATAGGGGCAGTGAGAGAGAGAGAGGAGAGAGAATATCTGCTGTCTGCGCAAAGCCCGACATGGGGCTCAAACTCACGAACCATTGAGATCATGACCTGAGCCGAGATCAAGAGCCAGATGTTTAACTGACTGGGCCATCCAGGTGCCCCGACATGTACATTGTTTTAAAAAGGAAAATACAGGTGACGCAAAAGGCTGCTCTTTTTACTTACAAGCTTTTTATAGCACCACCTATCCCCAATTTTACTTCCCAAAGCAACCGCTTTCATATCTTAGAACTGTTTGTATTACTGGCAGTGATCCTTGGCATGACTTCCATGTTTCTAAATGACTTGCTTATAATATTTCCCATCAGCTTTAGATAATACTTACTTGATTTTCTCACATACAGATAAGGATTTTGGTTTTTGTAAATTCCCACCGTCAATTCTCTGCTTACCGTCCCACATTTCCCCAACAGTGTAATAGTTTTTGGTTAAATGTGTATTTGACACATATTATTTTGACAATGGAATGGGGACTACGAAGCAAGCAGTAGAGTATGATTATGATTCCTTTCTTACACAAACTTTTTGTTTTCCTGGAGCTACTGTGTCTGTTTTTATTTCCTTAGTTTTTTGTTTTTTTTTTCTTCGTATCCTTTGGTAATTCTTCCAACACTGTCCACAGTCTTCTGATTCAGTTTTTCACATGATCAAAATTCTCAGATCACCTATCACTTCTATGTGTTTCCCTATCAATCATCCCTACATCTCCCAAATACATATCAGATCTTCTGAAATACCTTGTCTCTACTCTAGTATGTAATTATTAGAATCAGGCCTGCTATAGACTTCATGCCTTCAAACCATAACAACATCTTGAGAATACATTCTGTCTCTTTCTGTTTCTAGGATCCCCACTCTCCCCCTTTTCAGGTTTACTCTGTTTGGTGGGACATATTCTCTAGTAGATTTCGGAGAAGTGATGTGTAAAAACTAAACTTTACAGATATCCTGAATATGTATATATATCTTTACTGGACCTGTAATTAACAGCTAGTGAAGGGATGCTTTCAAAATCCTTTTTACAAACTTTTTTTAATGTTTGTTTATTTTTTGAGAGGGGGGAGAGAGTAAGCAAGCGTGCGAGTGGGAGAGGCAGAGAGAAAGGGAAACGCAGAGTCCAAAGCAGGTTTAAGGCTCCAAGCTGTCATGACAGCCCAGAAACCGATGCGGAGCTCAAACCCAAAGACCACGAGATCATGACCTGAGCTGAAGTCAGATGCTTAACCGACTGAGCCACCCAGGTGCCCCATGACTTCAAAATTCTGAGTGAATATTATTTGCACAGAATTCTACGCTCAGTCTCTTTTCTTTCTTTTTTTTAAATGTTTATTTATTTTTGAGAGAGAGAGGGAAAGCACAAGTTGGGGGCGAGGGCAGAAGAGAAAGACACA